TCCGCTTTAAAGCTTTCATATCTTTAAAATACAGAACACTATTTACTAAAGTATCTTGGTGAAATTTTGCGTTCAAGGAGAGTAAAAGTCCTTACGATAAACCGTTGCGGCTGTGATATTTTTTAAAGATAAAATATCGATCTCTGCAGGTAAAATAACATCATATTTTTGTTGGTTAGATCAAAATTGCAATTATGGCTCGACATAATGAATTTAAATTTTAGATTTATGTATATACATAAGTGGAAGTTTAAATTTAAACTTATTTACTATCTATATGTATACATACCTAGCTATTCTTTTTGTTGTGTCTGTGCAAATAGTTTCATCTACTCTGTACTACATATCTACACAAAACAATCCATATCCCGAAATAATTTTATTTTCATATTTTAAATATATATAATCTGTATGTACCTTGAAGCCAAGTAGAAAAAATCTGAAACCTTGCAACTATCGTATCTGCGCTCAAAAGGCCTATCGATAACAGCATCCAACTGTGTGATCTACAGCTTTCAGTGCTCGTCATTCCAACATTCCCACCAGTATGAGAAAAACATACCGTTGTAGTAGTTTTAATGCGCAATGAATATGAAAGAAGTAAATATATAACCACTTAAACAAATGAATGAAAACATATGTACATATGTACTTGTTAACTAAAAAGAAAAAGAATGGGAAAACATTTAATATTTTGTGTAGTTTCTAAGTGAAATGTACACATCGATGTAGCCTATGTATCCATTGTAAAAATGTCTAAATACAAAATTGTCTAGTATAAAAACTGTTTCAATTATATGTATATTTACAGTTACTCACAGAAATACTCGTTGTTTAGTTTTTTTTACGAAATTCAAAATATCTTCCATTATAAATCTTATTCGTTAATATGTATTTAAAATATACCTCAATGCATAACATAAACCATATAATGAATGATTTATTGAGTTTTTGTTATAGAACGAGCTATAATTTAAATAAAAATTAAGGAAAAAAGGTTTATAATAACAGATTTTGAATACCGTGAACAAACTAAACAACGAATACTTCTGTGTGTAACTGTGCACTCAAGGTCAAGCGAATATTACAACCACCTGTTTCTTAATTAGGTAGAATTTTGTAAATTTATATTTTTTATTTTATTTATTATACATAGTTTAAATCGCAACCAAAACTATATCAATAAAAGTTTCAAACATTTTAAAAAATTTTGAGAATTTATAAAATTTGTATAAAAAATTTCAATCATTTTTAACAAAATTTTTACGAGAATTTCGATTTGGTAGTTTAATTTTAGTATAATAATGTGAAGTGAAAAAAAAATAATTTTGCCAACGGTGTTGCGTAGTTTTCTATGGCACACATGCCTTTTTCTTAGGAAAAAATGAGCAACATCGTGTGGGAAAAATATTGCAAAAAATCAACCAACATTTTGAGCTTCTTCAAACTTGCTTTATTATTAAACTAAAATTAATTGGGCATACCGAAAATTTTTGTAAAATATTTTATTAAAAACTTTGAAGTTTTGATGAATTCTTTTAAATATTGTAGACAGTTTGAAACTTATTTTATATAGTTTTTATTACAGTGTGAACTATATTTTCTTTTAAGTGGTGTAAGGTTTGCGTAAATATTGGCACTTATACATTTGCAATTACTTGGGTAGCCCACGGATTTGTGGTGTGCGACTTGAAGTTTTCATACAAAGTAGTGTTACGCCACCACCGAACGGCAACGATTTTTAATGGGAAGCTTTTTCATGAGAGAAATGAACTCCAAGGTTTGCCATTGCAAGCCAAGGAGCGACTGCTGTTAAAAATAAATATAATTTATGTTGCTCGGACCAGGGCTCGAACCCTGGACCTTGCGATTGATATTGCGCCCCTCTCACTCGACCAAAATATTCATCAACAAATATACTTGTCTATTTTTATTTAGTTATTTTCTCCATGCAAATTAACATTATTTTATACTTGTTAAAAAAAAAAACTCAGAAATAGTCTGCCAGAATTTGGGGTACGTATTTGCACACAACAGTTTTAAATTTTCCAAACACCCTAAGATTCAAACACTAAGGATCCGGAGGCATAGCTAACACTGGAATCATCCATATCCTTGCATTGACTGCTTTGAGCATACTTAAGAAATTTAAAGCTCATATTACTATAACCTTGACTTTGCAACACTTTTACAGCATTAAGCATCACACCAATCGGATGACGGCCACAAATTGTATTGTTGTACTTTCGTAGATATTCAGTAAAAGCATTGGGATTAAGCGTTTCAATAATGGCCATGCCCTGAAAGAAAAGATACGTCCAGAAATAGTATTTAAGAATAATGGACCGATTACGGATGGCAACTGAACATCAGTTGCGTTGTGTGTGGCTGAAATGGTATTACAGATGGCAAATGAGAACTGCGTTGCTTTATTCGCAACTGCATTATTGTGGTTGCTGCGGAAGTTTTGATTAATAAAGAATAACTTTTTTCCAACTTTTTCCCCTACATTAAAGCGTTAAATGCTGGTACTTCAAATTCTATTATCTTCAAATTTATCACACTTAATTTGAGCTGCAATTCATTGGAAACCCAACTGAAGTTGAGTTGATATCCATAATCGTCCCATAAACCAAATCATATGGAACATGTGGTAGCATTAGAGCAAAAATAATATTTACTTGAAGAACATAATTATATAATATTATTTTGTTACATTATACAAGTATTTTTATTTTATTTTTATTTTTATCGTAATCATGAGTGGGTTAGTGGAGTATAAAAAAAAAATTTGAATTAAAAACAAAACATATATCTGATGCGACTTTCTTGTCATTTCGTTTTTAGGGCCTAAATACTCGCTAAAAATTATATCAAAACAGCTGTTCTAATGCTACTACCTGGCCAATATGTGTTGTAATAAACAACAAAGCGATTATTATTTACATACATCTTTATCAAGCTTTTCAATAGATGAGTAAATTTGACCACATGAGCGATCGTAATACGTATAGTTGAAGCGGTGTCCCCAATGGCAAAAGTCCGATGATATCACAAAGAGGTTTTGTGGATCTGTAAAATAGTTTGCTAGAAGGCCACCATACAGAGCTTCCTGTTCGGGATTCAAAGAACCGACTAAAATTGGCACGATCGTGAACTGATCTTTGAAACTGTACAATGTACAATAAGCAATTATTGAATTCAAATTTTTAAAAGCTTTAGATACAAAGGCATTCAGTGGAATAATACTTACTCTTCCATAACTTTTGCTATATATGGCAAGTGCATTTCGATACTATGTTCATCCTCATCTGTTTTCATGTCCATCCATGAGAAATTTCCAGTCTTTTCCAATTCGGCATTGACTAAAATATGCATTCATTAGACTACGAATAAATACATGTCGTCACAAGAGCTGCAATACCTCATATCCACCAAATGCAATACCAAGTTTACATATTGCAAAAATTTCATGAGGAAAACATTTTACTTTTCAGAAATTTTGAATTGTCTTCTAACTGAGTTTACTTCATGCAATACCATTTGGCAGATACGAGGTTTTGCATCCCAGCCTAAAAATATGTATGTATAGGGAAGAAAGCAATTAAATAAGCTAACAATTTAATTGACAAGATTTTATAGGTCTTAAAAGACTGTCAAGAAATAAATAAAATAAAAATAAATAATATGTACATATACATATATCGTCGATGCCTTTGCAACACTCGAAGTTTACAGGATAGCGAAAAAATGGTTTTCTTTGAAGGCATTTCCCAAATAGGCGGTATTTTTTCTAGCTATTTTAATAACGATTTTACGATTTTTATGCATAAATCTCGATGCCTGGGTCCAGGATTACCAAATCTCATTTTAGCGGTTTAGGTGGCCGATGGGCAGTTTTGCAAAGTCATCGACGATTTATGTATATGCATATTTTTTTTTTGTAGTAGCGAGAGGCTGTTGCATACAGTTTTAGTACATACAAGCATATCGCGCGGGTAATAATAGAGAGTATTATTTCAAAATCTTAATTTTGTGGGAAAACGTAATCAAAGTTTAATCAATTCATATAGTTGGTAGACGAAAATAAAACATATGCATTAATTCTATTTTTATTTAACGTGTGATATCTCTACGAAATACATTTTATTTACTTTGAGTATCAATCTTGAGATCATAAAGAGGTGTTTTGTATTTCTTCGCAGTAGTCAAGGCACAGCCCCGCATACGTACATGATGAGACGGACCCAATATGAAAATTCTTTTCCTATATAACAATAAGAAGAAATTAAACAGTGGTATTAAGCTTCATTATCTTATATATGTATGTATGCATGTACATATGTATGGATGTGTACAATACAATTCCATACTTACACTACAGCGGGACTGACTTGTCGATAGGCGAAGGCACCACAAGCGCCACAGTAGGTGTAGCCAGCATGTCTAGGAGTCGTCCAAAAAAAATTAATTACATTTAATATTAGATGTTATTAACTTACGGCGCAATAATTGCACGTGCCGGTCCGTGTGAAAGTTCGGCAGCAACCAGCCAGCGATCCAATTGACGTGACAACTCCGGACCTAGAAAATTCAGGTTTTACTAAGGCACTATACTTGCTTGTTAATTCTTAATGTGCCTTAGTAACCAACCCAGCTGTGTACTTTGCCTAGCAATATTCTTCTTAATTCATTATTTGGTTTTCGGCACCGAAGATAACAGTTTTACTTACAATTTATCGACAAATACATAAAATATAAATAAAAAAAAAATTACTATTTTAAGAATTGTTTAAAAATTTATCAATAGCGAAAAATGGCTGAGGGCGATAATTCAACAAACGGGCTGTATGATCTTATACGAAAAGAGATGAACTCAATTATCAACGAATTCGGGTACGAAATCAATAAATTTTAGCAGATTGAATAAAACAATTAAATTTCTTAAAGCGAGGAGTCCAAAAAGATGAATGCAACATGCNTAACTATTTTAAGAATTGTTTAAAAATTTATCAATAGCGAAAAATGGCTGAGGGCGATAATTCAACAAACGGGCTTTATGATCTTATACGAAAAGAGATGAACTCAATTATCAACGAAATCGGGTACGAAATCAATAAATTTTAGCAGATTGAATAATACAATTAAATTTCTTAAAGCGAGGAGTCCAAAAAGATGAATGCAACATGCAGCACACGCTTAGAGATTGAAGGGGACGCAGATCAACAACAGGAACAGCCCATACATAACTCCGAGAAAATAACAACTTCAGACAACATTCCGCTAACAGGCACAACAGATACTAAAATTAAAAAGGAACATCTTCCGACATTACTCTCTACAAAGCTATTGCAACTTCCTAGAGAGGAAACTCAAAGTGCAGCTATCGACACTGATCTACAAAATATGCGTTGTGATCTGCAACAAAGTTATGAGCTTTTCCTAACGATGGGCGAAAGATTCCAAGCCATCAATTTCAGTTCACTCAAAACTCGCATTAAAGATATGCACCTCGCTAAAAATGACCGCACTGTTTCACTAGAAGACGAAATTAAGGAAATATTACAAATACATTACAGGAATAATACGCTGGACAAGTTGACAGTAGAAATGGGGGAAAAATTCCAACGGCATCCTGGAGAATTCGGTAACATACCAGAGTTGAGTGAGTTCTTTCAAACATGCACACAACTACAGCACGGTCTAGAGCAGCTTAAAAGACAACGTCATTCGGTTGACGAAATGGCGAAACGCCTTTCCCGTGCTACGGAAATATCATATGCACGCATCGATGATATAAACAAAACAATGATGTCTAGACAGCCCGGCCAAGATTCAGAGCTCAAAAATTAATGGTTTATTATTATATATTATATATGTACTTCAAATGTTTTTTGATCATATATATGCCGAAATATGTTTGAAGTGGTTTATTTCACGTTTGCTTAATGCCCTTGTGGTTTTGTGGGGTACGGTTTAGTTATTTCTACGATTTTAGGTTGCTGGGCCCGAACGCGTGACCCGATCAAAACCCTTGTAGAAAAGAGTCTACGCCTCCCAGAAAATAATTTAGGTAGGCCTTTGTAAGTGAATCCATTCTAAGAGGCCTATTCAAAAAGGGCTGAGAAAAGTGCTTCCTTGCATGCCTTCTAGAAAAGCTTATTCGTTTACAAAGTACGCGAATGCATAAATTTATATTGGCTGCGTTTCTTTATACATTCCGGATAATCCCATTTCACNGGGTTGCTGGGCCCGAACGCGTGACCCGAATCAAAAACCTTGTAGAAAAAGAGTCTACGCCTCCCAGAAAATAATTTAGGTAGGCCTTTTTAAGTGAATCCATTCTGAGAGGCCTATTCAAGAAGGGCTGAGAAAAGTTATTCGTTTACAAACTACGCGAATGCATAAATTTATATTATTTAGTAATAAAAATAAACATTTTAAGTTGCAATAAAACTTATTTGATGTCAATTTTAAGCAAATACTTCAATATGTATGATTTTTATAAATTAGCGAATTAAATTAAAAGAACTCCTCCTCTTCTTCGGCAACACAGAAAGGAGAATTCTACTTAGTGAGGGTTATAATCCTTTTGTAAAAAATCTAAATTTCTTTTATTTTCAAACAGCTCCCAAGGGGTCTGTGGGAGTGAGAGGTGGAAGGGGTAACTTTTTATAAAGCGCGGACCATCCTCTTTCGTTTACTTTTTTTTTGGGGGAGGGGCCCACGCCCCCTCTCCCTTAGCCCCCCACCACGAAATCGTTGTACGAATAGCTAAACATTTCCCGGTTTTGTGTTGGACAAATATCTAAGCCTAATGATCCCTAAAGGAAGCTTGAAACTGTGATAAAAAATAATGTGACAATGCTGACTCACCAACGTACCACTGGCACTATGTAGTCTATTATATCTATGTAATCTTTCGTTCTTGTATAAGTAGAGCACATAGTCATTTTCAAAACAAAACTGCAGTTTCCAGTGCTAGAATACAAATTGTCTTACTCAATGTTTACCTAAATTGGTGTACCAGCTTCCAGAATGGGTTGCTTTTCTGACAGTAGACATTTTTACCAGCTTACTTTCCACTTTCTTTTAACTATTTACAATTATATCATTGAATTTATATTTTCCAAACTTTATGTTGCAGATTTTTGGTGCCCTTTTGTATTAACTCCAATTGTGTCAAACTAGAATTCACTGAGAAGAAAGGTTGACAACAATTTATATTCGTTTTTTGACAAAAGATATCAAATTAGGAATGCGAGCATTGACGTTTTGTTCATAAACATCGATATCAACATCGACGATTTGCGGCACAATACATCGACGACAAAAATTAAAAACATCGGCAACGTTCATTCATTCCGTCGTACCAAGGCGTATTCATACAAAGTGGTAGCAATGATAGAAATATTTAAAGGTAGTTTCACTTCTTCTTATCCGCCATCGCTCCCATTTGACGTAAACTGTGCTTTTGACTTTTTTTTTTTTCATTGCAGCTACCATATTCTTTGAAGAAACTAAAAAGTAGTTTTTTGCTAAAAAAAAAATTTTCAAGGAATATATTTTGAGCATCATTTTATAGCGAGTGGTTTATTTCTAAAATTAATTATAAAACGGAAGGCAAGTAACATACTCCTATTACATTGCGTAATGCACACTGATCATCTATTTGTTTATGCAATCATTTTCATCATTATTTAGTACGATAAGCTGCATATCTCGGGATGGCCACGTGCATGGTAACTTCGCCAAAGTGTTGTTTGCTTGTTCCAACCTGTTTTCGGCGGAAATTTTTAGCCTCGGGACGGATGTGCCTAATCTAAGCGAAACGCTGGCACCAGCAGCAGTAGAGCGAGTAGTTTATCTGTCTATAAACTATAATAAGGAACTCTAAGAATTTGTAAATTTTTTTACCTCCCTCAAAGTTTATGCTTCCATAGTGCTTTCATTGACGATAATCTACTTTTTAACTATTCCTTTGTTCATATGTCCTCCAAAAAGGATCCAAATTAAAGCGACGTCCTAATATCTATAATAATATCTCATGGAACATCGCATATAATGCCAAATTTTGTTGCGGTAAGGTAATTTAAGGTATTTTAAATTACTACATACTTATTAGTAGCTATGCTAATACGATGAATTAAGTAAATTTACCTTGCGTGTTGTTATATTTTAATGCATAACAAATTCATTTAAAAAATAATAAAATTTGCAAAACAATTATTTGTTGAGGTGGTAGTGATACTCGAGCAATTTACGAAAAGTATAAACGTCAGTTTATTTCAAAAAAATTCAAAGTGAAGCTACCTTTTTTTTGTATCATCATGTTTAATTTTTTTCAAATATTTCAAGTACTTTGTTTTTATTGAACCAAGTTCGCAAATGCGACCCTGAAGACAGAAAATGCCGCATGGCAACGTGTACTAAAATAATTCGCAGTTTTCTACAATTCGCTGGTTACCAACGTTCACAGGCTGTGGTCGGCGCTGCGCTTTCTCAATATATTTTTCGGGAATTTCTTGTGACTTTATGATAACAAAAAGGTTCGTGTAATTGTTTTAAAATTTTCGCAAGGGAAAATGTAAAATTTTCCTTTAAAGTACATTTGTAGATACCCAACGAGCTGGTGAAAACTGAAAATTGGCACTACTAGCGAGTCAACTGTCAATGCGGCGATACAGTTTTCACTCGCTCGTTTGCGATGCTTGTGCGAAATGCACTATCGCGTCATTTCTGTACTAAATTATATCGGAAGAAGAAGCAGAGGCACTAAAAAGAATCGCCGTGTTCTCCACCATTTTCCGCCATTTTGAAAGCTACGAGTGTAAAATTTTGTGATTCGTCGGGGAGCGCGTTGATATTCAAGTTATTGGAAAATTGTAGAATAAAATCATAAATAATAAAGAAAATAAGTGGAATTTGTTGGTAAACTACCCGCGGTAGTGTTTGTGTATGAAAACAGTTGTCGAAAAGTTTTGTTTGCTAGTTTTTTCCAAGAAAAAATTTCTGTTCTGTACCAGCGAAAAGGGCTAACCAAACGCAGAAAACAGCAAGCCTACTGCAAGAGCGAGTAGCAACAAAATTCACGGTCTGCAGCCGCGGCCGCAAAAACTATAAAAGGCAGAATTTAGAAATACAACTGAAGAAATTGATTAAATACATCTTTATAAATTTGCAGTTGCTTGACGTGTTTGACGATAAAAAAATAGACTACAAGTTTTCGCGCAATTCCTCTTCGTTTCGTTTCCAGACCTTACAACCGCCGCAGAACATATTTAAGTCGGTCAATAAGTACATACAAAGTGACCATTCCACAGATCGTGAAGTTTGTCCCAAAAAAAATTCTGAACCCTTATCGTGGTAAGCGTTTATAAACTGAAATCATTTACATGACAAATATTGAAATAATTTATCTTCATGTTGAATGACAGATTCAATAACTTATTATTATTGAATAATAGTTGGCTGATATTAGTTTAAATATGTTTCTCGTTTTCTGTTAAAAAAAAAAAACAAATTGTGATAGTGTCATATGCGGTTCCTAATTTAACGCAGCTCATATCGTGCTGGCAAGCAATTGGAAGAAGGCTTTGCACTAGTCATAAACCGCCTCCTCTTCACACTTGTATACAGAGTTGGAAAAGAAAGTAACGAGTGAAAGATGGTGAAAAAGAAAAAAAATGTTTTGGCGAGTACTTACGGCGTGAGCGAATAACTAGTGGAAATATGGCGGCGAACATTGTTGACACATTTTGATGAGGAATTGCATTTTTGCTTTTGCTGTCACAAAGTAGCAAACAACTGGCCAAATGTGGCCAACAATCCAGCTTGACCTGAACTTGTCTCAAATATATAAAAATACAAATCAGAGGAAGGAAATACATATATATGTACATTGTGATATGATAGTCTAGTGTACTTCCATCTGATTAGGGATGCAAACGATGCATCGATGTTTCTGAAACATTGATAACATCGGCCAAAAAACCGATGTTTACCATCGATATTTGAAAATTACTCAACATCGTAAAATTGGCGATATATCGATGTCAATTTTAACGATGTTTTAAACATCGACTTTAGTTTCGGTTCAAAATTGCCATTGCGTTCACATCTTTATGTTATATTCTTTGGGCTCTGTCACACGGTCAGTATTTATTGACGTGATCCAAGTATCGCGATATTTATTGACGGTGTAGTATGCAGTATTGATGGATCGTGATCCATATCGCAAAATTTCTAAAAATTTTGAAATCTGGATCGCGGATCGCTATACCGTCAATAAATATTGAACGTGTAGCACTTTCAAAACACGATCCATACATTTCTTTAGTACATCTTTTACTCTCATAATGTAAACATCGGCTCTGCCTTCACTCTCGGGGCTTAAAATCTTTCAAAACAAATTGAACAAATCTTAAAATAATTGTCATAAATAATAAATGCATTATCTGTAAATTATACGTACAAAATAAAAATATTTTCTTGCGTCATAATAAGCGTCCAGCAAAAAAAATATGCAAATACTGACGCGCTAAATATTGAACATGTAGCATTCGTGCGCGATCCATCAATCCATCAATATGGATCGCGATCCAAATATCGTGATAATTACTGACCGTGGGGCAGAGCCCTTTGGGTAAGCGTAGTACGGGTGATGGCAGCCCTGCACTTAATAAAAGCAATTGGCAACGTTGAACATAGGCGATTTCCATGACGTAGTTACAGTATTTCAACACGACTTAAGGTGAGTGTAAGTATTATCTGCGCGTAAACAGCAAATCTATTATGACATTGGAAGGAAATCTAATTAAATTCAAAAAACCACCCATTGAAATGTTAACAGTGTAGCAGTTTAGATGGACACTAGGTTTTTCTTAAAATTTTAACAAGCATTAAGTCAGTTTCAGGATTTGCAGGTTTTACAGGTAAAGCGGTTTTCGCCATTAATAAACCTTATGGAAGGTGGCGTACGTTAACAGCTTCCTGTAAAAACCTGCAAATCATGAAGTACCTGTAACATACTTATTAAAAAAGAGAAA